ACAGTATTATCCCACTTAACACTTGTCTATTTCGTTGTAACCTTTATACATACAGTCTATGATTTTAACTTGGAGGCTACGATTACAATCGTTAGCACCGATGTAGCTACCACTAGCTTACATGCTAACCCAAGCCTTACCATTCATTACGTAGCTGATTAAAATCATTAACACATAAATAAAGCACTAGAATTTCACTTACCGCAAAACCGCATTCATGCACCGTCTGTTTTAACCGCAGAGCGAGTCACAATAGTCCGATATATAAGCATGAAGAACAAAAAACCACGGCCGGCTACAAGTTGTGTTTCCTGGATGAGCTGAGCAGGCAGAGTCCCTGTAGCTAGCTTCACGGAGCAGCTAGCAGAGAGACAAGAAGCTAACAGCGGCAGGCACTTGACAGAGCCGTCACTCAATGTGACCACGCCCTAATTTATGCACAAACTTTAAGACCTAATATAAATAAAAGGGTCGCGTTAGAAAACAATTCACTCACAGATCCATAATCATGAAGGTGGAATCTAACTATATCGATAATACAATGTATGGAGCCAGGGGTAGAAACATGTTTTTTTCTGCTGTAAAGTTGGGCATTTTAACATGGGGTCTATGGAAATTGCTCCTTTCTGCAGCCATCGCCTATCGGCCAATATATGAACTGCAGCGTGTGGCACTTCCGTATTGGCTTCCCGGCTCTACCCCACAGTTTGCCGCTTGAGCTAGACCCATCTCGTGACAATGGCAAATGCTGCGGCTGCAATGCATTGTGGGGCAGCATTTTCTCCTCTCCTTTCGGTTAGGGAGGTCCAGTGGTTCCTAAGCTAAAGGAGGTTATAAAGGAAGTTTGAAACCTCCTTTCCTTTCATTTGGAGAATTGGAACGGCACTTAGCATGGCTGCCAGTGACGTACTTCCGGGTCATTTCACTGCGTTAGGAAGGTTCCTAAGCTAAATGGACTATTGGAATGCAACCCTGGTCTTTTTAATGTTTAATGTCAACCATTTGTGCAGATAGCATGAAGTACAAAAGATCGCAGATGCTAATGTAGCGTTAGCATTTCTCCCCCGGGCTTAAATTGTGTATTATAGAACGATCACACCGGTGACAGTACTCTTCAAAGGGTTCACGAAATATGACTACTGCTTTTACTGTTTAACATGTTGGGTTACTTCAGTGGTTCTCAAAGTGTGGGGCGCGCCCCCCCTGGGGGGCGTAGAGGCATGCCAGGGGGGGCGCGAGAGACCATGAGGAAAAATGGTTATATAAAAAAAAAAAAGATTTAAAAAAAAAAAAATCATAATTCGAAAAATTATTGATTCGAAAATAATATGATACAGTACAGTACTATTACGTCTGGGTCTCTGTGTTTCATTAAAGCTCGGCTCTGTGTGTGTGTGTGTGTGGAACGAGCCATTTTGTGTGTGCGAGAGAGAGAGAGCGCACCGGTACCGGAGATCGTTGTTCTTAGCTTCTGGTGCTAGCGAGCTACGCTAACGGATATAAGGAGTTTTTTCAACAACAAGGTGGAGGAGAGTCCTCTCCTGTCAGACTGAGAGACTCAGTGAACTAAAGGACTCTCTGAGTGTTATCTCAGTGGGTCTCAAACGTTTTGGTCACCATTAATGTAAACAATTATTTCCGAGGCACACATTTATATGATCATTATAGTTATAAAAAAATAAGAGAATAAATGAAAAACAGGTATGAAATACTATATGACATTAAAAAAAGAATAAAGTTTAAAAGAGTGATTTGTAAAATATCCATAAAGAAAAAGTAAATCTGTTTACAGTTCCGTTTCATCTGGGTGTTGAGAGAGGTATCCATAGATCTCTTCATTTTGCTCTCAATGTGTCCCCCCCTATGTGAGGTCCACACACCACCTATAAAAATAGCACGTTACCCCTGCTTACACCTATATGCCGTGAGCTGATTATCGAGCCTTCGTTGTAACAGTTGCGGGAACACTGTGTATGTGCGTGTGGAGAGTGTTGCAGTAGACAATTCCACTGTAGCGACCGGTACATTAATGGGAAACCCTAAATGTTTGAGCACCCTCTATGAAACGTCAAGCTACCACACAGCACCCCCAAAAGAAGTCTGTGGCGCCGCCACTGAGCCTGACTATGTGTGTTGGGGGGGCCCGACTTTTTTTTTTTCTCCAAAGGGGGGCCTGACAGAAAAAGTTTGAGAACCACTGGGTTACTTCATGTTAAGGCTAATAAAAATGACATGGCTGTAATGCTAACTAACGTGCTAGCTACTAGCTAGGTAGCTAACTTGATCCAGCCACTCCTGGGTTGCGTTCCGATAATCCAAAAATCAGCTCCTAAATTCTAACCCTATCTCCTATTCCTTGACCTCTGAGTGTAACGTCACGAGGTTAAGGGATAGTGGATAGGAGAATTCAAAAGGATTTAGGAGAAGAGACTGCAGTGCTTAGAGAATCCGAATGCACTTTCACTATCCGACGTGTTTATGATGCGCCAGCGGACGTCATGAATGTGCGTCTGCTGCTGTGGGGAAACTATGGAAACTACAGTTTTCTATACAGCGGACTACAACATGAATGTATAATAAGAAAGAGGGACTACTGTAAACTCATCTTGAGACTCTGCACCGTGCTCTGATGCTGTTGTTTTATGCTTTATGAACGTGGACAACAGAGAAACATATTCTTCATGACCAAAGTTGGAATTGAAATAAAAAAGGAAAGTGAAACTTATGCAAATACAAATGTATTTATTATAAACGTTAGTCCTTAACATCTATCACTGTATCACCATTCAAACATCTTTTAAAAGTTGAACAACCCCACACAGCTCAGTGAAATGTTGACTTTATTTGATCATTTCAGTAAAAACTAACGTTCATATTTCTCTTTTTGATTATAATACTGATGAACGTTCAAAACAAAGCACTTTGGCAACTTACCACATACGTTTTAAAATGCGTAATAAGCACCGTAACTTTCATGATATAATTTCTCCCATTATCGTTTGTGTCCGTGAACGGCCGACTGTTGAGTGACGGCAAATGCTGCGGCTGCAATGCATTGTGGGGCAGCATTTTCTCCTCTCCTTTCGGTTAGGGAGGTCCAGTGGTTCCTAAGCTAAAGGAGGTTATAAAGGAAGTTTGAAACCTCCTTTCCTTTTCATTTGGAGAATTGGAACGGCACTTATCATGGCTGCCAGTGACGTACTTCCGGGTCATTTCACTCCGTTAGGAAGGTTCCTAAGCTAAATTGACTATTGGAATGCAACCCTGGGCTGCAGTCGAATAGTCCATAGGACTATAGGACAATAGGACCAGGGTTGCGTTCGGATAGTTTAAAAATCACTACCCGATCCGTCCCCTTGCCCGATGTCATGTCAGTGTATCCTCGGTTAGAGCTCCTCCAGAGAGCCTTCTCGACGCCCGATCATTGGTCCTCGGTGTGCATTTAGAGAAATGAGATGTCCTTCAAAATGGCGCGCTGAAATTTATTTCCGGGTCACTACCGGAGGACCGAGGAGGGGAAATTTGAGTATTGAGAAGCCTCTCTAGAAAGGATCCGTCTTGTGTAAAACTCTTGCGAGAGTTTGCAAGTCACGTGGCTGAATGTTTACGTTTGACAGGCAGCCTTTCAGTTACGATCATTAACATCAGTGGGCCACAGCAAATGATAGTGAGAAGCTAAACTATCTATTAATTATGTCAATTACAGGGAGTGTGATTGTTGATATAGGGTGTTAGCGGTCTTGCTGTTCAAAGAAGAATGACAACACTGTAGATCACCAACACTATGGTTTATTTTTTATTCACAGGCAAGTTAACGTTGTCGCAGTAAAAGTCCCAAGATAGCTCCTGGTGCAATAACATGTTCCCTTTCAGTGTTTTACTATTATGTCTGATGTTTCTCTATTAATATTGCTGCTGCATTAATTTGTATGTTGCATGCTATGGTTGCATGTTACTGCTGTAGATGTGTTTCCGAGCCGCTCCAGTTACAACGAGAATGTGACGTCATATTTACACAAGACGGATCCTTTCTAGCCATAACCCTATAACAGCTGAATGTGGCGATTACCATTTTGTTCAGCAAAACGCCTCACAAACTGATTAAGATCCAAAGCTTTAGTGCGTTTTGATTCAATGCTGAGTACAGCCAAACTTGACAGTCTCTTCTCTGTCATTGTAGACCGCTAATACCTCATTCCTTCCGTGTACTTGGGTCCGAATGCTTCTCGTTTTGCGCCGTCCCGTTCAAATGAAATCGCCGCCAATCATATTTCCACGCTCGCGCCAGGGCCGAGGGAGGGGTTACAAGGCTCGCGTCTTGTGCTGCATTCACTTGCACTCGGACATTAGAGATTTTCTCTCATAAATGTCCAATGAGCCACAACTTTTCTTTCAAAACAAAGATGCCAACTGGGGTGGCAAGGCTATTTTTAGGGTGGCAGTTGCCACCCCATGCCACCCCATGCCACCTCGGTAGATCCTCCCCTGCGAACTGGCCATCTGTAGAATTTCCCCGCAGCGAAGTTCCCCCCCGTTGACAATTCACTAGCACTCCCTGCCAGTCTCTGGCACAGTTATGTTGGGGGTTGTGGGCTGAAAAGTTTGGGAACCCCTGGTATAGATCATGACCAACTGTTTGCACACAGGATCAGTAGCCACCCATTAAAACACATTATGCATGCTCCACATGTGTTGAATAGAGTGTGGCTTTTAACTTTACAATCAGATTTCATGTCCTTCTGTCAACAAACATCCGCTGTGTGTGATAAATGCTTGTTGTCCAGTGTGCTGCTGTATCTAATCGCTGTTTAGAGGCTTCTGTTTTTTATTGTTTTTAACAACCGAGATGAGGCAGCCTGGGTTCCATGTCTAGCTTTAGCACAAAGCACTGAATAACCTCTATTGTTATATTTAATACTTACAAAAACATTAAAATGCCCATACTGCCAACATTACTTGCATTGCCAACATTGTTTAACCGTGATCATTTGTCTCTGTAGGAGCTTCACTGCAGAAGTACTCTGGAAAACCAGAAGCTGGAGCTGATCTCTGAAGTGTCCAACCTGAAGCTGAAGCTGAACTCCATGGACAAGGACAGACTGGACTTTGATGACAGATTTAGAGACAGTGAGGTGTGTGAGCTAATCTTCAGGACAGGATTTAGCTTTATTTCTGCCTGTCCTTTCTCTCACCTCAATACACACACACACACACACACACACACACACACACACACACACACACACACAACACACACACACACACACACACACACACACACACACACACACACACACACACACACACACACATACACACTCCAAACAGACCCTCATTCATGTTGTCTGACACCTGTGTGGGAGAGAGACTCCTCATTTTACTGTCAGCCTCAAAGCAGCAGAAAAAGTCTGCATCAGCATAAAATAAGCTAACCATGGAAAATATGCCTGCTCTATTTGTTGTGAGTTTAAGTAAAAAAATCCCCTGTGGGAGTAGATTACCTTTTTTTTTTCTACGAAATATGGAAAACCATTAAGATGTCAATCATCTGTTTACTAGAGATGTCTGCCCCCAGAGGGAAACCATGCCAACTTGGAAAGCTTTAAACACGTCATGTTATTGTTATAGCAGCGGCTGTCTCTTCCACCCTACTGGAACAAAAAGCATCTGTCTGCCTCGCCGCACATTAATCACTCCTCTTCTAAAAGCCGCTTCCTCTTGCTTTATCCCTGCTGCTGCTTTGAAGCATTTACATTCTCCAAGAAACACAGTCAAACTTATCTTGAGCTGCTTTTGAATATTTAGTTGAACTTTGAACGGAATTTTAGAGCTGCCATAATGATATTCATACTGTAAAAGTATTACTTAGTATTTTAAGAATCTGCTTCCCATTATTTCTGCAATGATATGAATGTTTTGTTCTTTCAGGATTTGATTCTTGAGATTAATGAACTGCGGTATAGAATGACAGACCTGGAGGGTGAAAAACTGCAGTATGAAAAGAAACTCAAATCCACCAAGGTGAGTTGTCATAAGGAGGTTTGCACAGCCACAGTGTTTGTACTCTTCATGACTTTCATCTTATTCTATGCTTTTTGTAGCAAACAACTCCGTTTTTTTGTTAAAATCTGAGATTTTAACTGAGATTCTGTTTTCAATACTCTAAATTTAGGATTGTTTTGACAACATTTGACTCGAGGATAACATCCCTGTTGAAGATGTGAGGGTGTTCGATGACTGATTGTTTAAACAGGCTTTTGGACTTGCAAAACTGCTCTTTAAGCTTTCACTCTGATGGTCGGCAGTCTTTGTTTTGATTGTGCTTTGTAAATATCTTTGGTTGATTCTTCGTCATTCCATCTTCTTGACCTTCTTTTCATCTTTCACATCTTGCATCTCTATTTTCTCTCTCTTCCGTGGTTTGTCTCTCTGATGCTAGTTGCTAATGGCCAAGCTTTCTAGCCTGAAAATCAAAATGGGCCAGATGCAGTATGAGAAACAGAGGAAGGAGCACAAAGTCCAGGCCATGAAGGTTTGCTTCTCTCAGGATGGCTGTTTTGCTTGCTGTATGATTATGGTTTTTGACCTCTCCCTTTGGCTCTTCTGTTTTTTACTTTTGAGGGACAAAATCACAACATTTGGTTTGCAGCAGTACCATTTTAGGCAAAATTGCATCACTTTTTGCAAACAGTGAAGTCACTTTATTTACTAAACCAGCACAGTAGAATGTAAAAGTCAAATGTAGTCTGAAAACTTTTTATAGCTCTGTGTCTACAAGACACCACTTAAAGCAAACATTCCCATTTTTTTAAACCACAGGTATGCTTTAATTTGGATTTTCCAAGAGTTGGCAGCGTTCCGTCTTCCTGTGTCTTTTTTTAAAAATCTTTCTTTGCATTTTCTTTCCTTGTTTTGTGTCTATCTTAAAACCTCTTTAAAATTGAATGTGTCTGTCCCTATGCTTGATTCCTGTTGTGCTCACTTAAACATTATTTTTGTTTTTAAAATCTCCAGTTTCCCCTCCTGTTTGTGTTATTACTCCAGCCCTCTTACTCACCTCACACAAGAGCAGGTGTGCCACGTCAGCGTCTGTGATCCTCTGTGATCCTCTGTGTTGTGGTTTGTTTGTAGTGTGGAGTTGGGGGTGGGGGAGGCTGTGTCTGTGTGAAGGAATGGCCCTCACTGTTGTCCTCTGTTGGACAGGAGGAGCTAGCCATACTGAGGAGGCAGCTGGAGGGCAGAGACGGAGAAATGAGGCGACTACAGGACGAGACAGGTTTCAAAGCCATCGCCTCGAGCAGCTCCGACCCCACAGAGAGAGGTGGGACAGAATCACAAGCCTCTCTGAGGATGCGTGATGTTTAAACTCATGTTCAACTTTGTCATATGATTAAGTATTAAAGGTCACCTTTTATGCAAAATCCACTTGTTCATCTCGTGTACAGAGATTCTGAAAGTTTCAGGAAAAAAAGATTTGCTCACTTTTTGTCCTGATCCATTTATATAAAAACCTGTCTGAAAATGAGCTGATCAGATTTTGGCCACTTTATGATGTCATAACGATTTTTTGGCTTGTGCAACTATTAGCCAATCACCAACCAAGGTAACACCCCTCCCCCCCACCGTATCACCTGAATCTCCTCCTAGAGCACCATTGGGTTCTTTTTAACCAAATATCTCTCAGAGGGGCGTGGGGAGGGGCTCCTTGTTTTCATCTAAAGTAAAAGACACAGAATCAGCACTTTTGAAACAGGGCTGAAACAAAGGGGATTATGGGATGCTGCAATGATCTGTTTGGTATTTGGAGCCAAACACTTCAGAGACATGTTTTGTTTATATCTGAGTCCTATAATATGTTGATGAAAAACAGTATATCAAATCAAGTTTTATTTATATAGCACATTTATAAACGATTTTTGGTCGAGCCAAAGTGCTGTACATATAATTTAAAAAAAAGTATAATAGGGGACCTTTAATATCTATGTATAATTAGCAAAGCAGTTGGTTTAGCTTATTAAGATCTGCAACAAATCCGATTTTGTTTCATCATTCTTTGTCCTGTTTAGTCTCTCATCCAGATGAAACTCTTAGAAAGAGGCTGAAAGAAAAACGTAAGGGGGTTATGCTTGTGTTTATTATTGTACTTTATTCTTGCACCCATCTCAACCCCTGTTTGCATGAACGAGCATGAGCCACCCAAACTCAGCTTGTCCATTATAACCCAGTGGAGTGCTAATACCCAAACCATGGAGCACCAATCTGCTCAACTATTGTCAACATTATGACTTTGATCCGAGCACTGAGGTCACCCAAAGCTGTGTGTTCATGTCCGTCCTGGACCGGCAACAAGGAATGTCTGCTTTGTGTTTAAAACAGGAATGAGGAATGAATTGTGTTTGTCATAACCATTCAGGCTGCTCACTCATCCTCCCGCCTCATGTCGTCCAACAATAATCTCCTCGTCCCCATCCTCTAAACCCCCCCCCCCCCCCCGCTCACACCAACAGCCAGTGTGTGCTCTGCTAACCTGTGATGTTCAGTGTTGTGTCACATTATCTCTGTCTGTCTACATATCTGTGCCTTCCCCGTCAGTGAACTTTCACTTATGTAGAACAATTCCAAGTTTATAGAGTTTATTAACACGACAGTACAGTTCACTTCTCTAGTCTCAACCAGAGGTCTTGAATGTTTTACAGGCCAAGGACCCCTTAGCTAATACATGAACAAAGAACAGACCCATTTTTAACTGCATGTGTATAGAATTTAGTTTCGCCTTTACATTAAAGGTCCCATGTCATGGCCATTTCTACTGATCATAATTCCATTGTTGAGGTATACTAAAATAGATTTATACTGTGCAATTTTCTAAACTCACATTGGTTTCGCATACAGCATCTCTGTAAAGTATGTGTATTCACTCTCTGTCCTAAACGGCTTGTTGGAGCTCCTGCCCCCCCTCCCTATGAGCCTGCGGAGAGCATTTCTCCGCGATCCCAACGTAGTAGCCCGAAAAACGTTTACCCATTTAAACAGTCGTGGTAGATACCTTGTTTGTTTTAAACATCATAAATACACAAACAACAATGAATACTTACAGGTTGTGTACCCGAATCTCCCGCTGGTCCAAACAAAGCAGGAACAGCATCGTTCTTCAGTGCCCTACGCTGTACATATCCGGCATGAATCGCTGAAAGGTTTGGGAAGCTTTGTTTCGTGAAAGGCTGGCAGAGGGTGTGGCCTCTGGGTATCCCCACGTCAGAGTACCCAGGAAGTAAACAATGGAAAATGAGAAATCTCCAACGAGGCGTTTTGGGGCAGCATAGACTGTGTTAGAGTTTTACTCGCTACAGGGTGTACTTTGAGAGGTTGTGACTCTGCAGACCGTTTACATGCATAAAAACCTTCATAACACACAAGGGGACGGGTAATAAACGGAAAAGCATGACATGGGACCTTTAAGGACGACCTACATTAAAATAATATTTAGCCACTAGTTTGCTATTAGGAAAGGTGCCTCTCAGATGTTGTACCATAGGTTAGCTAACTCATGTGATTGCTGGAGGATTCATGGGTAACGGTACCGTCTTTAGACTATCAACAATTTTACCTCTGCTTATATGTTTGATTCATGCTTCTGTTTGTGTATTTTCACACATATTCAAATTTGAGCTACACAAACTTATACCATTATCAAACAATGATTTTGTGGTCCTCCTGCAGTGACTCTGAACACACCCTAAAAGACCCCTGTCTAGGTCATTATAAATGGCCGCTATAAGAGAGATACATACTGTATGTATTTAGTGATTATAAACCAGTGGATGAGGCTTGAATAATAATTAGTATCCCCAGGATTGCTAGAGTTGAGGGAAGACTGACCACAGAGTGTTTGTTCTGGAAATTGAAAATGTTCTACCCAAGTGAAAGAACCCTGCTCACACAAGATGGTCAATGAATCTGAACATTTAAAAGACCAAGAAAGTGGCTGTGATGTTCCTGGAATGACGTTCAGTAATGTTGCAGCATGTTATGTCTTAATGTGTTCTATCCTGCAGTTTACCATTCGTATCCTCCTCAAGCTACACAAAGTCACTGCTACAGTTCTTTGTCTGTAATCATTTCCTTTCCTCACTAGATGTGGAAGTGCAGAGAATGAAAAAGGCAGTCGAGTCGTTGATGGCAGCGAATGAAGAGAAGGTATCAAATCAAGTTGTTTTTTATCTCTCTTTCTAAAACACCTGCCTCACTGAAGTATGAAAAAAGACTATGGAAAAATATTTGTTTCAAATCAAGTGTCATAATTATTTGTCTTCTGAAATATAAAATTCAGTATTTAAAGAATAATAATAGAAGCAGAGAGGTTTTCGTGGCATTTAGAGCAGTCAGCCAGAGGAGCTACAATGTTTATTACCACACTATGCCAAACCAAGAAGCTTGATTTATTTATTTTTTTATTTTTTTTCAAAAGCAAGGCAATAAGTTTGGCATGTGACCAAACGCACACTCCTACACAGAGCTGTCTGTACGCCTTTACGTCAAAGCCTGCTAAACGGCTCTGCCCCAAGTACAAGATGTTGGACAGTAGAACATCGTCCACTTTCAGCGTAGGAGTGTGGAGTGAATGTTCACACTGGGTAAATGCAAGTTTACAGAGGGCTGGCGTGACGATCCCGAAATAAAACCTGCTAAGCTAAGGGTTACCAATGGGGAAAATAAAGTTAGATGCAAATGTTGTGTTGTATTATTCTTTAAATGGAAAATACATAGGAACCCTGCGCTGAGTTGAACTGTTTGATTGTCTCTCCTTTTTGCAGGATCGTAAGATTGATGAACTAAAGCAGTCGCTGCTGCGGTATAAGAAAGTTCAAGAAATGGTGATGTCAGTGCAAGGGAAGAAAGGTGAGATGACTCTTCTGTAAATAAAACATTATCTAATGTCTGAGATACATTTTTGCTCATACACTCAATCATACAACTGTCTTCGAATCTCATGTTATGTAAATTGAATTTGAGGTTTTTAAAGATCTCCCTAGAAACAATAGATGAAGTTCGTCTACTCAGAAAAACGTTTTGTCTTAAGTGGTTTGTTTATTGCTAGATGAAACAGCTGATTTATAAATATTCATCTCATTTATCGTCCTCTGCAGAGAAAGGCAAAGATAACGAGTATTTCGAGGGTGACGGTGATGGATTCAACGAGTTCTTCCTAAACATCCCGATGTCTGCCGAGTCGGAGAAGTATGACGTATTAGATGTTGAACTGAAGAGGAGGAGCCCAGATGAGGTTTGTGTTGCATAATGTGAGCATGAAACGCTTTCAATAGAAATATTATTGCAAAGGAGTTGCATTAAAACATAGACTAAGAAATGTAAGAAACCTAAAATCACTGTAGTTTGTTTTATCCATTTAATGTATTCCTAATGAGTCTTGCTGTAGTCTTTTTTTGTAATTTCAGTAAAACTGTAATAGCTCACGCTTATTTCACACTTGTGTAATGAGTGTTGAAGGGTCTGACATCCAATTAATTGAATAACCTCTCCTGTCAGTTCTCTAAGCCTGTGTGCAGATTTAGACTGCCGCGGGAGAATATGCAACTTAATATTTTCCGACGGTGCAAACTTGGATATTTAAAAAAATGTATTTCCTTGCTCTGATGTGTGCTTAGTTGGAGATGCTTAATGGTCAGACTGAAGAGCCTTCACCCTCTCCCAGCCCTTCAGATCCAGAACGAGTGTCAGAGTCGGCACCAACAGATGCTGAAAGGTGAAATATGAAGAAGACTGTATCCCCGTTCAAATGCAGTGATTTACTCCAAGTCCATTTCAACATGGAGTTTGGCTTGTTTAGGTTTGTGTATAGTAGATAAAGTAGATCTTGTTAAGTGATCAGCAGCTGATCATTTGTGGCACTCCAGTCTAGCGCTGTGCGATTATGGCAAAAATCATAATCACGATTATTTGGGTCAATAATTGATATCACGATTATTTAGACGATTATTCATTGACCATTTATTGAACTTTAAAACAAATAATATTTTACCAATAAACAAGATCAACAAATATGTTGGAGCACACTTCCAAAACCATACTAAACATATATTATTAATATGATAAATAAAAATAAATTAGACCAAAATAAATTAAATCAAACATGTTGCAGTGCACCTACTGAAAACTCCTTAACATATAGCCAACATTTTGGTAAAACATATTCATTATTCCACTCAGTTAAACGTTGAAGGCTGGCCAACCGTCATGGTCCAGAAGTAACAGGAAATAAATGTTGAACTACAATTTAAGACCAAATACAAATGTTTAGGCCACCATGGCAAATGCTGGTAGGGCTGCTCATGTCATCTCTTAAAGATTTTTTGCAAGAAACACCAGGCTGTTTACATGGTCTGGTTTCAGAGATGAGCGCAGACAGGTGACGATATTGCCACCTGTACTGAAGACCCTCAGCCACGCCCTGACACATGGGGTGACGCCGGCCAATCACAAAGCTTTGATGCGTTCATGTGCATTATTCTGGCACAGGAAGATTATGTTACAGGACATTAACGATAAAACAGAATATTGTTGTTCTATTTTTAGACACATCTTGCAATCGACTGGTTGGGCACCCCTGGGCTAGACCATAGGTCTGTTGTGGTAGCAAAGTAGTCAGCTGAAGCCACATCTCTCTCAACTTCCCCACGGCATTTGTCACATAGCGCAGGCAGCGCAGACCTGCTGAAATAATACCGAGACGGCATCGCGTAACGCTTGTCCAACGTGTTGACAAGTTGCTTAAAGCCCTGGTTGCTAACAGTGCTAACTGGGCACATATCTTTAGCGATGTGGAATGTAATGGCAAAGTACTTGCAAATAGTGGAAATAGTTTTACCCTTCTTTTTAACGAGTTGCTGCTCTTGTTCTGATATCTTCGCTCGCGCTGAACACTCACAACACATGTCACTCCCACGTGGCCGAGTGGGCTTTTAGGGAGGGGCGAAAGCGCACCCAGCAAAATAATCGTATTTTGTCAATTATGCTGTTTTCATAATCGTCGCAAGCCATAATCGTAATCGCGATTAAAATACGATTAATTGCACAGCCCTACTCCAGTCTTTAAATGTCAACATTTTTAAGGGATATCGAAAATAAAAAAAAGATCCTTGGCATTTCAGGGTTTCAATTATGTCTCAGGGTTTTCAAATTTAGTCAGGGACACCAAGTGGCTCATAATCATTTGGTTTGGGGAAATTAACCAGGAAACGTCGTGTTCTGCCACGTTTAAAATTAAATGCACTAACAATGACTTCAACATGTCATGTCTTCTGGCTCTTTTATAGTTTCCTGGCACCATCATCACCTTTTATCTCAAATACATGAAAACATACAGCTGTTTGGAAAATTACAGATTTTTTTTTAGTTCAACATGAAACTTTATTTAATATGATTCAGCAGGTATTCAACTTTTCATGAACGTCTTTTACATACATCTGAGAAAAATTACTGGTGTGACGAAAATGCTTTATGCAATGTTTGTAGGCCTATACTACTTTCACTTCAATATGTAAAGAGTGCTGCTGAGTGGCCTTTCCTGAAGTCCTACTGGTATACACTGTAAGGATTTATTTCGGCCGCGTTCTTTAACTTGCACAAGAAGAATGTGTGTAACAGCAGTTCACATCCTGCTGCTGCTTCTCATGACCTCCACACTGCTCAGGAGACAAGCTCACTATCTCCTCTCTGTCTGTTTCAGCTGCCAGGACCCCATCAAGAAGGGCAGCCAGGATCAGATGGAAAGGAGCAATAATGAAAAGGTAAACTTTGACACATTTAGAACCGGGAAACCTGTTCGATTAAAAGAGTCTTGTTCAGTCAACCTTAAGACATCACGGCATACCATAACGTCTCAGAAAACTGTTTGTAACAAATAATATTAGTCTCATTCTGCTACACCAAGATGTCTCTTTGTTGAAAATCATTCTCTCTATTTGGCTCATACTGTTTGTATGCATGCATTAAACATGCTCCATAGAGTTGATAGCCTTCGCAGTATCCCACATTTTCTGTGCTGTCTAGAGAGCATATCTTGACTGATAAGTTGATCAACAGAATATTCACTAACTATTTTTTAGAATCTATAAATTATTAAAGTTATATTTCAAGCAAAAATTGAATTTCATTTTTTCAGCCTCTCAAAGGTGGAGATTATCTAATTTGTTTTATATAACATTGAACTTAATGTCTTTGGGTTTTGGCCTGACAAAACAAGGCATTTTGACCACTGTATGGACCAAAAAAATAATCAATGTATTTAGAAACAAATGTTAATTTACAGCTTCGGTGCAGTGTCTACATCCTTAACTCTGTTTCTTTACAGTGAAAGTAACAATATTTTATTCTTCAGGCAAATATTAGTCTGCAAGATTAGCATACTGACTAATACTTGTGGGATAGTATGTATGAAAAGTAGGGATGGGTATCTTTTGAAATGTATCGATTGCGGTTCTTATCGATTCCCCGTTTCGATTCCAAAATTGTAAAAGAAAGAGGTGAAACGTTTAGATAACAAAAATATCTTTATTCTTTTAAGCTTTAACTGACATTTTTACAAATAAAAAATAGACATGCAATACAAATGTATTGCACAATAGCTGTGCTTTATTTTAACTGCGCTATGCCTGTGGCAAGCTATTAACAGGCTGTGCCTTGTCTTTTTCTTTTTTAGTGTAGTGGAGCCTCACTTCAGAGCGTTTACCGCAATCCATCTTTGGTGTTATGAAGTGACTGAGCTCGTGAACTGTCTACGGGAGGGTGGGGGGAGCCTCGCTGCGGGGCAACTGTGGGCCTCTGTCGCCTGTCAGCGCAACTTACATGATGCTGTTTTAAAAAAATAAGGGCGTGCCGGCCGTCAGCGTACCGAGCCGGCCGTCAACGGCCCGCTGATGACCGGCCGTTCTGTGATTCTCCAGAACACACAGATGGCCAGTCCGCCCTTACCCTGTATTCCATCGGGTCACCGCGGCGCAGACGGACCCGGTGGAATACAGGGTCTACCGCGTTTAGGAACCGTTCAGCAGAACCGAAATTGTGTATTTTGTACGGGTACCCGGTACCCGGCTTTTTCTTATCGGTTCTCATCTGGAACCGAGTTTCAGTTCCCAACCCTAATGAAAAGTGATATAGGAGTATTGTTTTTGTCCTCTCAGAATGCTAGTGAAGGGATCAGTAAGATGAGTGGGAAGCCTCCTGTGGGTTCCTCTGCGACCCTGCCGACCTCCACAGAGGACGAGAGCTTCGGCTCCAGAAAGGCTCGCTCATCCTTTGGAAAGGGCTTCTTCAAGATCCGCGGGGGCAAGAAGACAGGCAGTACTCCTAACCTCGGTGAGAGCAAACCACATGAGCTGTGCAATGAATTAGCAGTTTACTAGATGATGAGTTAAATGGATGTGAACTATTTAACTAATCACCAACTATTTTAATAATTGTTTGCAGTATTTCTTTAGAAATAAAAGTTAATGAGTTGATGCTAATCTAATGCAAACATGTTTCTTTACCCCCTCTCTGACAGTAAACTGAATAATATCTTCGCAGTTGTGGTCAAAACAAGACCATTCAAAGACTTTATCTTGAGTTGTTATCAACATATTTTCTGATATTTCATAGACCAAACAAATAATTTTTTTTTACAGATCAATGAAAATAGTTTTAGTTGCAGCCCGACTAGAAAGTGAGATTTTCTTGGAGGTTTCTTTTCACCATGGACGATTTTTGTGTTTTCCCAAGCCACACCCATGAAATATACTCTATGGACCAGGACCATAATTTGCAGCCCACACAAACTGTAGTCCCCGTTTAATTATGGAAGTTGGTTTCTGCGTTGGATTTCCTTCGGTCTGTGTTTGTGCTTTTATTGTGTGTCCTCCTGTACACATGTATGTCTGCGTTTGTCCCACCTCTCCACTCCTGGTCTTATTTCATTCATAATGTCTGCCCTTTGTCTTGTTCTTTCTCTGTTGGACCCTGTGGGGTCTTGTGTGTGTGTTTTGTTACACATGAAGACCGCAGCCGGAGCGCAAGTGCCCCTATGCTAGGTACAGTATAGACCCCAGGTCATTGTAGGGTCTGAAGAAAACAAGGAAACTTCAAAATATCTCCTATTGTTGAACACCTTTGTCTTTTCTAACTTCATCCGTTCAGCTGACATCTTTTTATCATATCACGTTTCAGCGCTTCAACAGCCACACCCCTGTCCCAACCCATTGTTGCACAAATGTCCAACATACAGACAGTCTGTTGTTCATTTGCCCGTGTGCCTGCATGGATTTGTTTCTGTCAAACCCTTCCCCAAACACAACTATACTTCAAGATCCAGATAATCCAATCAAATGATTTATTTGGATCTTGAAAGCCTCCCGCTAAAAATCTAAAACTACTAGTGAGCCTCCTTTTTTATCTAATAAAACAAGGCTGTTTCTTCCAGTTTTACACAGGAATCAGCAGTGTCTGATGCATGCTTACTAGAGAGGGTATTTCTCTCCCACTGTCATGGCCCCTCCTTCTGTCTGGGAGACATCATGTGTCTGAGTGTTTTCTGGGTCTCTTCCCTGACCCTGTGCAGCAGCTTCTTTTCCGCCGCTCTGCGCACGTCTCCCACCATAAGGCTCATGATGCTGATTATTTTCTGTGGGCATTTGTTTGTACAGCTGAAACGGAGCGACCGGGCACCGACCATCTGGACCTGGCCGGGCTGCCACAGAGGTCGGCTAACAGCGACAGCACCAACACACTCTCCACGACCCCTGAGGGCAGGAAAAAAGCCAAAGGAATAAAGAAACTCTTTGGGAAGTGAGTAGAAAATTGCATGATCATTTCTAGCTCTAAACAATTGTAAATTAGTTACTATTTATTATTTCTAGTACTTCTAATGCATTTAGAATAAAGGAAATAAACGTTTACACTTTCAGATTCACCTAGAAATATTTACAATGTGCAAATATGGTTTATCACTATCAGCATATTCTATATCATCGGAAGGATGTTTTGATATACTGTATATTCAATACCATATTTTCTTTAAGGCTAAAAAGGAGTCAGTCTACCACATTTAACCTGGATGACAACCTACCAGAGGGAGACTTTAAGAGAGGCGGAGTGCGAGCCACAGCGGGACCCAGGCTGGGATGGTCTCGGGACCTCCAGAAACCCAAGTAAGTGTGTGCATTCGGTCTGAATAATGAGAATCTCTCTAGTGTACAACTCAACTCAGAGATCATGTGAGGATTTTTCAGGAAGCAGTGTTTGTTGGGACTACAACTAACCTTCAGAACCAATCAGAATACTTCATTAATCCAGGGGGGAAATTGGGTTACATGACAGTTGCTTCATTATAGAATACAATATTTAAAAATAATAATATTTAAAAACATTACATTTATACTTCCAATGCAAATGTGTATGTGTTGCCTTTTTTTAAACTCTATAAGTATGCGCACCTGTCACCATTATGACTTTTCTCTTTCTTCTCCTTAGTGAGGTTGATGCCCCCTTTGCGCGCTGGTCGAAGGATCAGGTGTGCGACTGGCTGCAGGATCAGGGGCTCGGTCTCTATGTGAACATGGCTCGAGTGTGGATCTCCTCTGGACAGACGCTGCTACAGGCCTCACAGCACGACCTGGAGAGGGTGAGCTGCTGCAGAACAATTCAATAAGTCCAGCCAAGCAGGCAGGCAGACAGTATTTTTGTTATTGAACCTTCTGCATCACGTAGTACCTCAGGGATCTCAGTGTAATACTTGGCTTCATGTCGATTCTAGGAGCTGGGCATCAAACACCCGCTGCACAAAAAGAAGCTGCAGCTGGCTCTGCAGGCCCTCGGCTCAGAGGAGGAGAATAATAAAGGAAAGCTGGACTACAACTGGGTGACCAGTGAGTACTAGCTGCCAGCTCCCTGTTTTAAAAACCCTTCTGCTTTGTTGCTTTTTCTTCTTCACCCATGTTACTTTTAATTACATTTGACCGTCAACTTGACATTCTCCTTCTGACACTTTGCTCTTTCTCAGGATGGCTGGATGACATCGGTCTGCCTCAGTATAAGACCCAGTTTGACGAGGGGAGGGTGGACGGTCGCATGCTGCACTACATGACAGTGGTGAGTGTTAGAGAGACACGCTGCCTCCACAGACGCCGCGGGGAAAGAGGTCTGACGACTCCAGTGCCATCTCACATTAAGATTATTGCATACAGATTCTGATGAGCTCCACTCAAGTGGATCTGATCTTACCCTCCATATTTGAGACAGACCTGAAGTCACACCACAGTGACCTTATCTGTTCAATTTGAGGCTTCTTTGCCTGGGAATGCTTATTGTTATTGCAGAAGTCTGTTGTGTTTTTAATGTATTTCTTCAACCATCTTTACCATTTCACAATAATTCATTGGTGTCTAACTTTGCTCCTCAGGATGACGTGCTTTCTCTGAAAGTGGGGAGTGTCCTGCATCACCTCAGCATCAAGAGAGCCATCCAGGTCCTCCGACTCAACAACTACGAGCCAAACTGCTTGCGTCGAAGGCCATCTGACGAGGTGGATACAATCACCTGAGAATTTAGCAACCTTTTCTGCTGTTTGAAATAACCCACACTCATTTTATAATGCACATCTACACGTGAACATTTCTTTTTTTCATCCTCTTTCTGTGCTTTGTGCCCACAGAACAATATTTCTCCAGCAGAGATTTCCCAGTGGACCAACCACAGGGTGATGGAGTGGCTGCGCTCTGCAGACTTGGCTGAATACGCTCCCAACCTGAGAGGCAGCGGAGTGCACGGAGGCCTGATGGTGAGACACTCTGGCAGTCACTTTTTCTGGGAAACCTGAAAGTATTCAGATCCTCCTAACACATGTGCTCACCCTCAGGTCCTGGAGCCGCGCTTTAACGTGGAGACCATGGCTCTGCTGCTGAACATCCCCCCCCAACAAGACGCTGCTGCGCCGCCACCTCGCCACACACTTCAACCTGCTCATCGGCTCCGAGGCCCAACAGCTCAAACAGGAGTGTCTTGAAAACCCAGACTACACTCTGCTGACTGCCACCACTAAGGTCAAGGTAAAGCAAGACTTCTGATGGACAGACATTGGATAGATGGATAGAAATATTACTGAAAGAACTTCTATTACTTGGTTTGTTACAAGGGTTACCATGAGTATCTGACTGAATACCTAACAGCTAGGGGTGCAACAACTAATCGACTTAATCGATTAAAATCGATTACCAAATTAGTTGCCAACTAATTCAGTCGTCGATTCGTTGGTGACGTCATCACGTGTGTATTACGCGCCGTTAAGCTCCAACGTTATTGGTCTTTTTATCGGTACTGGAGACATTTAAAAAATATATGTCATGTATTGTTGCTACAAAAACATTATATCGCAGTCTTAGTGTCGCCAACTCGTTTCTAATATGCAAAAAGACAAATAAATGCGTCTATGATGTATTTTCGATCAGACGAGATCTCTCTAACCGGTCCTGTGTGCGAGGGGGCGAGGCAGTTTACACACACGCGGCTGCTACATGCAGCAACACACTGCGGAGACGGCAGAGAGAACGCGCTCCGAGGTGTGGTTAAACTTTACCCGTCTCGATGTGGACAATGCTCGTTGCCTAAAGTGCAATAAGAGTTTAGCATGTGAGGGCGATAACACGAGCACTTTGTCTAAACATTTAGCAAAAGTGCTCCACATCCAGACGGAGGAATGCACCGGGTTCGACCGTCTTTCTAGCAGCTCTGTAGCCCCATCCACGAGTAACTTTTCCACGTCAGGTGTTATGTATGCTAGCAGCAACACACGGCAGTTAACTACATGATACAAACATGGGTTAATGATTAGAGGAAACTGAGTTATCTAGTTTGTTAAAGTTTCAGCTATTCTGTTCACAGTTCTGTCATCAGATTATTTAATACGATTTGTTAAAATATTGTTGTTTCTTTTGATGTGAAATATTATTTATTTAATTTAAATAAAAAGCAACGTTAGTTTTGTAAACAATTTGTTAAGTTAATTTAATAATATATGTATTTTTGAATCAAGTATTCATCTTTATTGTCTTCATTGTTAGTTTCCACATGCCTAAAACAACCTCAAGCTAAATCTAAAAGTTGATGGCTAAATAAGAGCGTTTGAGAAATTGTGCAAGGCATACAGTAATAGTCTGAATAGATTAATCGATTATCAAATTAGTCGTTTGTTGCAGCCCTACTAACAGACTAGAACGCAGACATACTGACTCTTTAAACTCTAAACCTAAAATACTAGATATACTCTAAATAAATGTAAATTATTAGACCTTTTAAAAATACGTTTACATTTCACTAAAATTGTATAGTCACAAAAACAGTATTAGCATTTAGTTATTGAACGTTTTAAGATTTGCTTTGTAAGGTAACCCTGAGGGATATGCACATTCCTGTTTGGATATCTAAATGTAGCCATGTGAACTGATGAAGTCTATTTCTTTCTCTTTGCTCTCTTTGTTCATACCAGCCAAGGAAAATGTCATTTGGTAACTTTGGAAGTCTGAGGAAGAAAAAGCACGACGAGAACGAGGAGTACGTGTGTCCGATGGATGTGGAGATGCCAAAGGGACGAAGCTTTCAGAAAGGCTATGAGCTCCAAATCTACGAGGACGACCTCGACAGACTAGAACAGGTGAGCTTGTCCTTCTGTCTGTTTACTGATGATCGTATACCCTTAATAATGTAGTGATCGGCTATCATAATCACAGCTGTCAACACTTTATTCAAGTTTCATAAAGCTAATGCCTAATTTCCCAAAAATCACAGCATTCAAACAAATGGCCCGGTCAAAACTTCTTAAGCCACTTCCTTTATTGATCTTCTGCCTCCCTAGTTGATAAATGTGTCATATACAACTTGCATGGGTAAGTATTTCAGACCTCAGAGAAATAAGGCATTCAACTAGGTGATCAGTTTGAACCTGCTTAAATATGAAACTAACTTGATACAAACTATAGGAAATGCTGTAATACTTTCATCCCTAATTATTATTCATGCTCAGATTTTCAGGGGTTGTCTTTTATACAATTCATATAATGTTTGGGAGGTTATCAATTTAAATAAGATATTTACTACGTAGAAGTTTTGAGGTCTCGGTTTATTGAGTTTGGCGGCTTCTTGTTTCACAGATGGAGGACTCTGAGGGAACTGTGAGACAGATCGGAGCTTTCTCTGAGGGTATTCAAAACCTGACGGTAAGAATTTCCTCATGGCCCAGGACCAATGGCACATTGTACTCACTGATACCATTGTTTCACAAGCTAAATATTGTATTCTCTGTAATGTCCCCTTATCCAGAGCATGCTAAAAGACGATGAATTCTTCAAAGAGGCTTCCAATTCACCGAACCCCAGCGTAACAGACGAGGACTCCATGGCTTGAGGCAGTCGGCACCCCGAGCTCTGGTCCTGCTGAGAATGAAACTCTGGGCCTACCCCTCCCCACTACTCACAGACTTGGCTCAACAAACCCCAAGATTGCTCCAACATTTCATTTTAGTGTTAAATTCAAAGATGAGCCAAAAGTATTACAGTGTCTCCTCCTTTTCAGTTTCAAACGACGGTTTTGTGGCAGCCTACAGTCCTTTCACTCCTGAACTCTGTCTCCGTCAGAGGGAACATTTAGGGCATCACCACTGCCTGCCAGCTGGTTTCTGGAGATATTTTCTACTCAGTTGTGTACTGGCACCGTTTATATTTATGATAGAAGTGTCAACCAGCAGGATAAAAGACATCTTAAATATGCCAATATAGATTTTAATATATGTCTTGTAATCTGCCTCCTGAAGGGATGTGCTGAGACGATTTTACTCATGTTTAGAAGGTGGTGTAAAGTAATAACTCTAAAACAGCTGCTATGTTTTCTTCAGAACTAAACCCTGCTATTTACGTGGGAATGTTCACATATGTTATTCTACGTTGAACATTTTACAGGTTTTCACTCCAAAGTAATATTCTAAATCTATTTGCACCAATATATATCGTACAGTACAAAGGCTATGAGTAACATTGCATGGTAATAACATTCAACACATTTATGTAAGAGCTTTTTTGGTTTTTTTATTTGTTTTTTTACCATAAATTGATTTAAATGGAACCCTGTTTGTTGACAGTTCTTTTCAGAAAAGTTGATTTGGATGTCCTTTTTATTTCAGATAATAATGTTTTAATGCAACCCTCGACCATCCACGAGAAGTTGTGTATATAGTTTTTTTTACGTTCATCCATTTCTAAGATCAATAAAATAATTTAAATCGGTTTGGATTTTGTTTTAACAAACAAGAGATTATGGGAAAGCTGATTTCACTGCTAAATGATGAAAAAACATGACTGTTTAAAGGCTTTTTATCAACGGCTCTCTTTGTGTGTATTTTAATTATATCTCAACTTTGATCATGCTGACTGATTTTTTATCGACCTGCAACACAAGAATATTTGAGAGACCAGGAAGAAAAGTTAAGCACCACAGCCAACAGGTAACGGCAATTATTATTTAAGATTTGAAAAATACCAGATTGAAAGAGTGCCATACTCCATAATTAAATGTTAGCATGAGTATCAGTACGTAAACCATTATTGCATTGAATAACAAGCAAAGTCCTTCTCAGTCTGCTCCATGTTTAACCCTTTCATGCATAGAGGTCACTACAGTGGACAGCTATTCAAAAGGTGTTTTCTTGTATATGCATTGTTTTTTTTGCATAATTGCACCATCAGCCACTACATAGGACCCTATTGCATCATCCCATACACTGCCACTCAGTGCCAAGTCAGTGTAAGTGCATGATACATGGCTCTAAACCAAGACGGATGACAGAAAGCCACATGGACCAAGTCACCCATCTATATCCTGCCAATCCTTTTATGGAAAGCGTCCCCTGCAGGTATAAAAAAGGTGGACGTCATGCATCACTGGCTATATTTCAACTACAATTCATACTGCTACTGCTGCTGTTGTTCCCAGGGCCGTCCCTCCCTACAGGCAGATCATGCAGACTGTGTGGGGCCTCACCTTGTGGAGGGGGCCACACCTTGCGGAGGGGGGCCTCATCTGAGGCGCACCTATGCGCTTATGTGGCGCAATTAGGGTGGCGCAGCACGGTTTCGCCGCTGCGAGGCTCCACTAGCACTCATCAAATAACTGTGCGTGGGGCCTCAAATTGGCCCCTGGCCCTGGTTATTCTTGAAAATACTTCATCTGCAATATCTATTTGGGCCGTAAATCAATATACTTATGTTATTATAATGTAATTTTAAGTTTGCACATCTTTATTTATAATTTTTTCAAAATATACATCTCTTCAGTTCAAACCCTGAACGCATACTGTCCACCTGAGTGGACATATAAAAATCTCTTTGAAAAAACTAGATTAAAAAAAAAAGTTCAAATCTTGTTTTTCATGCACCAAGAGCAATAATAATACTTGGTAAAAAAATCCTGACTGAGGCTTTCATAATTCATGCATGAAAACTGCCTTTAAAAAATATGTATAAATGGAGATGAAGACCTTCACATCGTCAATAAAATAGTGAAGTGTGTACAGCAGAGATGAAAGAGTAGATCTACTTGAGGGTTGTTGTGATGAGGTGCTGATCTGGAAGTAGAGCTATCTGCTTATATCTTATTTACATCGGTTTATTTTTAGAAGGCCTGGGGCCTACAACTAATTATAAATAGAAGCCCATCTCAACATCCACTACACTTTACATTAACTTCCAAGATTTCCGCCCCGATCCTTGCTCCTCTGGTCATTTGAACATTTAGTAACTTTTCTGTTATGAAATAAAAACAATTGCTACACGGATTATATCTGACATTGAATGGCATGGCTTTGTCCCTATATTGTAATTCTAAATTAAAATGGTGCCCACTTTCTTGACCTATAATTTATTAGGTGACAAACATTCACTCACACAGATTTTCTAAAATAATACATTTTGAGTAACCTACTGACCTTGACACATTTACTCAAGGTTAATTAATTAATTACATTTTGGAAACATAGAAATATATACATTTTAAAGAACAGCACATTTGGTATAAGTGCATCAGATCAATAAGACAGGTCGCCCTCTGGTGGCTGTATAATAAAACTCCTGTGAACATCTGGAGGAGTTTGTTCCGAAGTGCCCATGCGCAATCAGTGGACACGGTGCCTCCCATGGATGTATAATAAGGTGCCTCCCCTTCAGGATGTGTTGAGGGTTGAGACAGGACTGAAGCAGAAGAGACTGAACTTTACTGCAGCTCGAGCTGAAGGAGTGAACCGTGAAAAAAGCATCATGGCTGGAAGGTTTGCTTTTCATTTTCTGTCCAAACACTAATCTGAAAATGATTTGTTACCCTGTAGAATTTCAGTTATTCTTCATTGTTGCACTTTTTGTCTTTTATGACTGAACAACAACAGATCAGAAAAATGTTTTTCTTTAATGTTAGACAAACTAGATTCAGAGTAAGAGTTTGGTTTTATTTTGGATAATGTATTTACTATTTAGGATGAATGTTTTGGGTTTCTGATGTGCAGGTTCTGTGGAGTCCTTGCCCTTCTTGCTGTGTTTCTCAGTGGACTGGATGCATCAAGGTACAGTAGTCAATTTGAGAATTCTCATGCTTTATGTGTTTTTTGAGTTTACTTATTGCTACATATTTTGTTCCTTCTCAAATTATTTCAACAGACCAGCTATAAACCAGGAACTATCCAATATCTTCAATGAGCTGTGGACTTTGGATGTGAATCGCATGACCCCTGCCACAGACTACACAATCTCTGTTCAGGTATGAAACATGTTCTTATTCAGGCAAAAACTGAATTCTGTTTTTACAAAGATATATTTTGTGTTCAAACTGCCCAGGGTAGAGCCAATTATGTAACCCAGGGAAGCCATGTTGTGACGGACCGAGCCTCACAGCCTCTCTTCTCCAACGTTAATGAGATCAAGCTGCAGAACATCACAACCTTCACCCGTAAGTCCCTCTGCAACACACAGGATAATTCCCTCTCATTCTGGGCATAAACATGCAGCTCATTGCAGACCTGACTGTGATAAATGTGATTTATGTTCCCTGCAGGCCTCATGAAACTCCTGGACAACTATGAGCGGTCCACAGGCGTGGCTGAGCGAGTCACAACAGAGGAGCAGACTGAGATGAATCTCTTCCTCGATGCCGTCCTAAACACTGAAGTCATGAAGGTATTAAGACGTGTTGCAACCAGTTTATTTAGTAAGCCATGTTTCAACAGGGCTGTTTCCAGAGGTGCAATATAGTCACGAGCATCCACTCAATTACTTAAGGCCCTTTCCTAAGTACAATTTGCAGGTACGTATTTTCATTTTATGCTATGCTACTTTATACTACTACATTTAAAGAGCCAATACAAAACAATTAATAATAAACATTGACATGATATCTCGCAGAACTACTGTATACAACACAATCGAAGTTAGTGCCACTTTTACCAGCTGTGTTGGACACATTAATGCATCAATAATAATATAATTTGGTACTCTATTTGGTACTTGATGATTTGGAACATTCAGTTCCTTTTTGATGCCAATTATTGCGTACTTTTGATAGAGTAAAGTATCTTCCACCACTGGCTGTTTTCAAACACCTCACCTGTGTTTGTTTTGAGCCGAGATGTATTTTCAGAGTAGAACGATCGTGAATATAACGAATGTTCACTCTTTTTTGCTCCCTTAATGACTGTTTCTAGTTTGTTGTTTTCCAAAGTTTTGTGTTTTTTCCCCCCAGCCTCACTGCAGCACTGGACACATTAGTTCAGGATGTTAGAGAGAAAAAAATATCAGAAACATCTGTGCAGCTGAGGAATGCTGTGTTGGCCTCAGAGGGTCTGAGGAGGGGATTAGTGGAAACAATGAAGACATGCAGTAGTTTTTCTGTTTCAGAGAAATCCATGTTTGTTAGATGGACCTGATGGCGGGATCATGATTTAAGTCTATATGCAGATTACAATAACACTTTTTTACCTTGCTTTTTTAATTGCTTATTACGCTTTTTCACATACACAGTACATACAGTTTGCAACTAAATACTTTTACTATTTACTATCTCTTTTGACTTTGTACAGTACAGCTTTAATCAAAGAGGGAAAGTAAACATTTAACAAAGTGTAATACAAACTGCAAAAATAAAAAGTTATCAAAGAGCATATTTTAAGAAAAGGCAGAGTGCTTACAGTAAAAATAGTAGATATTGAAGTAAAATGTAAACTCTAATGTAATGTTAAGTAGCTAAGTGCTGTTTGTATAAGTGTTGCATTACGTATTGTTTCTAAATTGTGTTTCAATATACTTCAAACTCATTTTTCAGTGGGTTTCAGCAAATGTTTATATTGCATACACAGAATATAATTTTCAACAAATATTCACGTTTATTCATTATTTATTATACTTTTAAAACAGATAAAGACGCCTCTGGTTTAGCAATATATTATAGAAAAGTCTGAAAACATACATTTTTGTAACTGTTATTCAAAGATTGATGTTAAAAAAGCATATTATGGAGTAATAAATAATTTTATTTGGGAACACATCTCAATGCAACTTGTTTTTAGCCTGTCTCTCCCATTTAGTTTATTTGATCTATCTGTATTGTGAGAAAGTATTTTACCTGAGATGTTTATGTCATGATTGTGATTTGTCCACAGCGAGCCCATCGGTACCTGGTGAGCAAAGGACAGTCCAACTCTAACCTGAGGATCTTTAAAAATCAGCTTCGCTTGATCTGGTTCAACCTCTACCACAGAAAGAGAAACTCAGCGTGAGTTGCACAAACATCAGCAGATCATAACCTCAATTTGTTGAATTTATTATAAAATCTCAAGGGATTTACTACGATTGTGTAAAAGTTATGTCATTGTTTTGAAATGTATCTTCTGTTCTGTGTCTCTATTTCAAAACATTCACCAGCCTGGATTCCTGTGGATTCGAGCATGTGTTTGTTGGAGAGACAAAATCTGGATCAGAAATCATTGGTTTCCACAACTGGGTCCAGTTCTACCTGCAAGAAAAAAGCACGCACTTGGACTACAAAGGATACAAGGCCAGGGATCATGACTTAGTGAGTGCAGCGGTTCATCAGACAAAAGAGATGCATTTATTTCTGTAGCAACATTTCCTGTTGTCTCTTTTTTATTCCTATAAGGTTCAATGAATTGCCATTGTACAACATGCAGTTGCAAAACGAAATGCAGTTGCTACATACAAACAAAACAAAAAAGAAACTCCCCCAGAGCCTCTGTAGATTAAACTGTTAAATAACCTGAAAATAAGAAGTAACCTTACTGACTTTGGTCAGACTGACTGTCTGACCAAATTTAGAAAATGTCCCAAATTGGGATCAATAAAGTACTTCTTATCTTATCTTAAATCATACTCAACACATTAGAAAGAAACTCAAGTTCTAAAATTCTAAAAACTCTTCACAAATTGAGCTAATTTAGGGTTTGTGTGTATCTTTCCACAGCCCGATCATGATGACCACGTCCTGAACCTCCAGTTCAGCTGGCACGGTCTGGTGAAGCCTGTCGGCAGCGCCTTCATCGGGACCAGTCCTGAGTTTGAGATGGCGCTCTTCACCATCGTCTTCCTCATGAACACAGAGCGGAGCACCACAGTGCTGGTCAACGTTGACCAGTGTCAGATGGAGCTGGTGGTCATCCGACACGGACGCTCCCTCGGGACGGCATACCCCAAACTGCTGAGCAGCAACAGCAGACATGTCGGCCATCACTAAACTGAAGGAGAGGGTCTTCTGTTATAAAGTGAAGCCCACATCCTTATTATGAGAGCTACATAAACTACATGGACATTTTTGGTTACATAATCCATTACATCATAAAAATTTCATCTTATCTGATTACTTTTGAATAATTCTAAAATCAAACATTGAAAATATGCCACTTTATATTAAAAATGTAAGTTTGACTGATATTATTTTTCTAAACATATTAAAACATTTTACATTTTCAATGCATTTACAGTTGTTTTCATCCAATTACTCTAACAGGTGTGTTTTCCACCCCATGTGGGATGCACTTTAATGAGTCAATAACATTGATTATTGTGAACAAAAGTTTCATATTTTTTAAACTGCAATTTTATAAAGACTCAATCAAAAAATATAACTAAGTAGTTGATCGACAGTGCATCTATAATCTGCACATGTTTTCATATACATCTCAGTTGATTAAAGTTAGTAATGTTACTTACATGATCAAGAGTCTGTGTTTTGGTTAAAACACCTACTGACCTACTGACTACAGTGCATGACATATATCTGTAAATACCTGTCATTTCTTTGACACACATTTGTAAACTTTTTAATGTCAAACATGTGGTGTGTTTATAAAATGTCATCAGCCAATAAAATGCCATATAACCCTTTAAATGCATCAAGATCTCTTTATTATCATGTTATAACTTAATGTATGTGAGTACTATGTATGAGGGAGTGAAATAATTATTTAAATCATTTGTATTCAGTAAAAAAAACAACTCAAAATTGTGGGTAATAATTCCTCAAAGAGTTTTACATTATTCATGCATTATCATTTAAGTAGTATTGTAAAGTTGCAGCTGTTCTACAGTACACATGTAAAAGACGTTCTGAACTGTCTTTAAAAGGCACCAGACCTCTGGTTGTTTTGAATAGATTGTTATTGGTAATGGTAGGCTACTGTATCTTGGTATTCATTTTGGGTCGTTTTACTGGGATGTGGTAATTAGGCGTCTCTTTGTGAGCGTTTTCTTTCTAAGGTTGCACTGACCACTGTGCCTATCATACTGTTCAGAAATTTATCTATTTGACAACACGACATCACATCAAACATTGTTTTTTTTAGAGTTTTCAGCACCGTGCGAAAAGCGGAACACTTCTTTTGTTCCGTGTGTACGGAAATGTTACACTGTAACACACGAGAGGGTTGCATGCTGGTGCGACTTCCGACGCCGTATCAACAGTGACAGAATGTGCATAGTTTTATTTGTTTACTGTTGAACAGTAGAAACAACCATGGAGGTGCTTGGAGGGGAGTTTGGTGACATGACTCCTCAGGAGCTGGCGGCTCCTGTCGACACCATAGAGGTAAATTTAGAGGAAATAAAGACTAAAGTTTCACACCACGAGTAGAGAGGCTAACATGGAGGCTAGCAGCACAGAGAAGCAAAACAAACAGCTCCTGTAGGCTTTATGGTCTGAACCTCGCACAATGTGTCACATTCATTAACATTTGGTCGTAGGTTACAATTTGGAGCCTACGACAAAATGTTGCAAAATAAGAAACGTTGAAGCAAATTGCTCTCACTACCTGTAAATAAGTGCAATTAAACCTGATATGTATTGAATTTCTTTCTTTTTTCAGGAAAAATGGAAACTGTTACCAGCCTTTCTAAAGGTAACAGCTCACACCTTCGAACGGCTGTGTTTCATAAACATTTACTTTTATTTCCTATAAATCCTCACATAATGATTTATATTGGGACCCCCCCCCCCCCCCCCCCCCCCTCAACACACAATAGCAATTGAACTGAACATGTAACGGATAAACTGATAATGGATACAATAATTAGAGAAACTCGTTTTTTTCATTGAATTAAATACTTGACAATTCAAGGAACCTAATAATGTTGATGCAAAAATGAACTAAACTGTGATATTCCCATAAAATAACACTTGCAGTCTGCCTTACAACAACGTAATGAACACGGGACAATTACCACAAGTGCCAACATGTTACACGCATGTGGGTCTGGATTTATGTTGATACTGTTCAGCAATAGACCTCATTACCATTTACATTTTATTCTATTTTTTTCCCTTTAACTCTAACTTAATTTTGCTCCTATTTTTGTTTTGACTGACTTATCATTCTTATTGTTTCACCACTACAAACATAACAAAATGTATGCATTTCACTTTGCACTATGTTTGACCTGTCATCTGTCTCCCAGGTGAAAGGACTTGTGAAGCAGCACATCGACTCATTCAACTATTTCATCAATGTGGAGGTAAAACAAAACAAAACCACAACATCAGTGTACGTCACAGCTCCGGTTTTATTTAAATATAAATTGTTTATATATATTTTTTGTTTTCCAGATAAAGAAAATTATGAAAGCAAACGAGAAGATCACAAGTGATGCTGATCCCATGTGGTACCTCAAGTGAGTCGTCTCTAAACCATCATTGTTTGACAGTAATCTAACAATGATACACACATGTAGCATATTTTAGACTCATTTATTATTTAAATGTATTTTAATGTTTTACTTCCAGATACCTCAATATCTATGTTGGCATGCCTGATGTTGAAGAAAGCTTCAACGTTACCAGACCAGTATCTCCTCACGAGGTGAGCTTTGCTTTTGTTTATTATTAAAGTAAATATTATAATTAATGGTTGACTATAACATTTTTGCAGCTGTAGCTCAACATCTTTTTTTATTAGAGACAATTTATCACTTGAAAGAAAATGTATCCTGAACTATTTAAATATCGAGTCAAAAAGTGCCAAATATTTGTTTACTGCAGCTCAAATATTGACACCGTTTATAAAAAAATAAATTAAAAAAAAGGCAATATATTGACATATATTTTGGTGTGTTTTGACATTTGACAAACTATTAATTGATTGCCTAAATATAAATTGATAATTTCAAAGATTCTTTCCGTTGATAGGGTACTAATTATTATTATAGCAAAATATCTTAACCTACGATGATCAAACGTCAGAACTAGTGATGAGAATTATGGCTCTTTGAAGGGAGCCGGATCTTATGGCTCCGTTCCTTTCAAAGAGCCGTTTTTTTAAAGGGGGCGGGGTTACTAGGTTTATCTACGAAATAATCACCAGGATAATGATTGACTGTATTGCCAGACCTAATGTCAATAATCTGCATTGTAAACATGACACAAGGTGGCACCATATCCATGTCATTCATGTCACTGAATGTACTACTTTGAATTTACCCTCTGTATGTGTTAAGTAAATAAAGTTGCCTTGCCTCGAATGAAATTCACGCAACTCTTAATATTAGATACTGTGTTTTTAAGTGGCGATGGAGAATATTTGTTGACCCTGCTTTCAAGGATATTTTGCCTTTACAAATAGTGCGCTTTATCACTGCCTGGGTTTTGGTTGAAGTGCATCCAAATGCTGCTGCGTTTTCGCGTTTGGCTCATTTTCCATCCGAAAAACACGTCGTCTACCTGTCCTGTACCACTTGTTATGACTTCTCTCTCGCGCGTATTCCGTTAAGACCAACCCCATCTCACTCCTCGTGCTGAAACCTACCAATCAGACTAGGGGCGGGTCTTCACGGAATACGTTTGGGGAACAAAATCAAGCTTTTAAAAAGGCGAGTGGATTTTGGCAGGCAGTGAGTGCGGACCAACGATTGAACGATAAAAAGAACGGCTCTCACCAAGTACGACTCGGTTCCCCTCGTTCGTAACAAAGAGCCGTTCAAAAGAGTCCGCTCGTTCGCGACCGACTAGTCAGAACATTTCCCTCTTCATTCCTGTTTGTTTCAACAGTGTCGCCTCAGAGACATGACCTACTCTGCGCCCATCACAGTGGACATCGAGTACACGCGTGGCAGTCAGAGGATCATCCGCAACGCACTGCCCATTGGAAGGTATCAAAGCTTCTCTTTTTGTTTCTCACACACAGTCACTTCCTGCCCCTGGTGGCTGAAGTTCTCACTTTTTGTTGTCAAAAACTCATTTTATCAGTCTGGAACTAACATTCCTTACATTCAATGCAGCTGTCCTTTAATTTATCTTATCTCACCTTAAGTTTAATTTCTTAGTTCAATCTTTCCCTAATGGCAACATAACAATAAACAGGCACATACAGTATAATTGAACTATCTATAAAGTGGTCTTATTAATACACTCTTGTAATTCACTATTCCCAGGATGCCGATCATGCTGCGAAGCTCAAACTGTGTTCTCACAGGAAAGACACCCTTGGAGGTTTCTAAACTCAATGAATGTCCTCTGGATCCAGGTACACAGAGAATGACACAGAATAAGAGCATTAACACAATTACGATTCATTTTCCTGATAGTGATTCCTGCAAAACCATCTCCTATTTCTTCACAAAACCATCTCCTATTTCTTCACAGGGGGTTACTTCATAGTAAAGGGTCAAGAGAAAGTCATTCTGATCCAAGAGCAGCTGTCCAAGAATCGAATCATTGTGGAGCAGGATAGGAAGGGAGCAGTCGGAGCCTCAGTGACCAGGTACTGTGACAATATGTTCCCTTAGCATTTACTTGGTGTAGAGACGGAGTTTTAAAACTGCATTTTTAAATTTATACCAGCACAGAGTTTAAAAGGAATAGGCTTGTTGCAGCTACTTTTGTTCCGATTAGTTTCCAATTCACAAACCTTCCGTTTCTTTATCTACGTGTCTCAATTCCAGCTCCACTCATGAGAAGAAAAGCAGAACTAATATGATTGTCAAGCAAGGCAGATTCTACCTGAAACACAACACGCTGTCAGAGGACGCCCCGATCGCCATTATATTCAAGGTGAAAAATAAATGATGAATATACATGATGGTTATAATGATGAAGCTGAGTGATGCAGAGCGTCCAGTAGGGGGTGCTACAACACAGCCAGATGTTTTTGTTTTTGTTTTCAAAGTAACTTTGTTCCCCTTCAGCCTCCTGAATTGTCTTTAATAGATGAGTTCACATGGCAATGTTATGACATTTGTTTAGTGAGAGGTATGTCTGCAGGTTGGTGTTTAGTAATTATTCTACACACTTATCTTCATGTGTCGCCATTTGCTCTCAATGAAAATGTCAGTTCGCCAGCTGGCATCATTAACTTATTTTCCCTCTGAGGACAAGTCTCTCCAAACATGTCGGCTTGTGAGCGTTGAGTGTTTGGAGCTGAGGTCTTTATCTACAGGACACGGTTTGCATGCAGTTTGCTGTGCACTTGTATATCCTGGGTGACTTCTTCCCTCAACAACCTCAGATCTGGTGTGGGACGACAGACTGATCAGTTCCCACAGCTTCACATTTCCATAAGCAAATGTCAGACAACCTTAAGACTCCCACCTCACCCCTCCCTTCACCACACACACACACTCTTGTTTGAGTAACTAGTTGTGTGTGTACTTTACCTCCCCTTAATGTCCTTTTGTGGTTACATAAATGAAACATTTAAACAGTTTTTGTTATAATTATTCCCCTCACACTCGCTGATGGTCCCTCACACAGGGCATGGGCGTGGAGAGTGACCAGGAAATCGTGCAGATGATCGGGACGGAGGAGCACGTCATGGCGAGCTTCGGCCCGAGTCTGGAGGAGTGTCAGAAGGCCCAGATCTTCACTCAGACGCAGGTGGGCCGTTAGATTCAAAGGTTTTATTG